ATGATATACTGGTAAGTTGTATTCCACTTAGAGGTTTCAGAGGTGTGGGTTACATTTTCTGTCTTGAGTTAAAAGGAGTGCAGTGTACTGGAACATTCATTTTCCTTGGTTAGCCCTTTATCAGGTGGTATTGTTTTGTTTTACTGTTTGACTCGAGTACCGCATTTAGCCGTTTCAATGCCGTATGCACAGTGTAGATTCTTGCAAACCCCACGCATGATTTGAACACGCGAATCGATTTGAACAGTGGGTAGTTTAATGGCCAATAAATTCGCAGCTTTGTATAATTTTGTAAACACAGTCACATACAAAAACAGTATCAGCTTTGTTTGATAACATGCTCGGATAAACTCACTTAGACGCCTGTCGTAAGTTGGTAACATGACTATCTATACCTGCCTGAAGAAAAGTGCGTGTTCATCTTGCCAACGTTGTTTATGGCGAAGTTAGTATTTAACCAGATAGAAACAAAAATGGATTTCCTATTAATTAAATTTCGTGATTAGGACGCCAAGCATGATCTTGGGCAACTCGGGTATTTTGGTATTCCAAACGACCGCTAGCGCCATCAGTATCTCCGACCCGATAGAACTTTGTGCTCCGACGAACCCCCCGAAAAGGACAGTACGTAGGATAACATCTCCAGTGAGACCATGTCTAAGTCACGTCATTACAGGGTCTAGAAAAAACCAGGACATGCACAAGTATCTTCTCCTATCTCGCCATATGATTGCGATTGCATCTTTGCCTCTTCATCTACGCTGGAGAAGGCTGTCCAATAACAGAAAGAAGAGTTACTCGGCAACGCGTCTTTGATTCGGCAGCGTCGAGCACGTAGCGCGGAGAGGGGAGTTCCATTTCAAACCACGGTACTCCGACTCGAGGAAATCTGCACGCTCTGTGTGTTCTGCTCTCTTGTGCGATATTTATCAGCACCGGTACGCTCAATAACACGCAATCAGTTCTGACAGCTCCATCAGATTATATTCGCCCACTTTCTCTCTCTTTCTCTTTCCTCTCAGATGTTTGGAGGAAAGGGGCGAAGGTTCGACGGCTATTTTCTGAAGAAAGGATTTTTTCGCAAGATGAACACAGAATTAAAGGGAAGCGAACCTAGATGGAAGCGTTACGGTGCAATGAACAAATGATAGTTAATTGAACGGTAGATCCTTCAATTGTTGTTTTATGTAATCAGAATAAGTATTACTGTTGTAGAGGAGAATGTTGAAGTTGAGAGCTCCTCTTAAACGTTGGTTATGTGACCAGATCACAGGTCGTAGAAAGTTGTTTTTGGCGAAGGACGTCCTGGGAATCTTGCGTTTTCGCTGGGAAAATTCCGACCAGACTACCGGCGATTCACAGTTGTGCGCCTCTGAGAGTTTGCAACGCGTTGCGAAATCTGTCGACCCAATTCTCGTTTGGAAAGATCGATAGATTTCACGTGTTTTGATTAGCCAACGCGTTGCAAACTCTTGGAGGCGCACTTTTGTGAATCACCCGTGTTGTGCGTTTGTTTGCATACGTGGAATACGTAATGAAAAATTGCATAACGTTGCTGTATATATGAGCCCCGAGCTGGTCAGAACTGCACTTCGCTGGTTCACAAACGACTATAAGTGCACGCTTTACGGGGTATCGCTATCGACAAAATTAACACTCCCGACCACCATGCCTCTTTTCAACCGATGAGGGGGTGCTTCTGTTCAAGGCGGAGTGTTGACCCTTAAATCTAGTCCCTGTGTGTACTATATGCACTTTCCAACTCACTTGTTTATACAGCATACATAGAGTGGGAGTTAGCGTTGTTCGTTGTTAGCCTTGGAAAGATTTTCCAAAAAGATCAGTTTCCTCATCATAGTGTACGTGGCCACTGTTATTTGTCGATAGGTCTTCTGGATAGATATGGCAAGAGTGTGATTTGGAACTATTGGCCTTCGATTTCTTGAACCAAATAATGTGCTTTTGAAGGCTAATAGGACGAATATTTGGTGATCGTCGCTCGAGTGGTTTACTTAACAAGTTTGATATTAGTCTAGTGATCCTTTGGGCCAGGGCTTGCATGTCGCATGAGGTGGCTTCGGTAATAATCACTGAGCCAGTTGACAAGATTTTCCCACAGTGCGCCAGTGCTATTGTTTGTGACCCGCCTTTTGAGTTATGCAAGTAGGTGGTACACTACGTCAATGCACGATTCCTAAGACATTCTTGGCGACCTCTTGTACGTGTGTACAAGGCAAGACTTTCAGTCCAATGACCATCCGAGCTTAAACTTCGCAGCGCTATTGACGTCTTGTCACCAAGAATAAAGGAAACTGCAAACCTGTATTTATTCTATAATGTGACTGACAAGTCAAGATTATCTCTATAGAGTCTCACGACTGATTTCTTAAAGGTCTGTTCGTTTTAACGTCCAGTCTGTTGACATCGTCAGCTTGAATCCTCAAGCAGGAATGTATTTTGTGCATGAAGGTCATTTATGTACCAGTTTCAACCTATTAGAGGGGATTTACTAACATGCATTAATGAGCCAGTTCGATATTTCGAAAAAGCAAAGTCATTCGGGAACAAAGCACGCTTGCAAGTTAGCAACCTCTCACGTGCGTCTTAATTAAGGACCTCTGATGCGCTTCACGCTTGGCATGCGCTGTTGGAATACAGAATTTTCCAATCTGCTGCTAGAGGGCGCTCGAGTATTTGAAAACGTCACTGGCCCTTATTTTGAACAATATTATCTTGCTTGGCAGACTAACACCGTTGAAAGCAAATTCATATTAACAGTGCCAAATAAAGCGCTTCGCCTCGACTGGAAGAAAGGGTCAGGTGAGTTTGCATACCTGACAAAAATTATGACCTTAATTTACTGTATTGCCCAAAAAGCACGAATGATTTCATTTGGTTTTCAAAGATTAAATAATCTTGTCTTTACTGTTTTTAATTTGACACCCGATGACTTCATTATAAAAGTGTGGCCTTAAAGGTGCACCTAGGAAGCAGGTTTTAGTTTATGCCAACTTCCAAGTTCATGCATTGTACCATGTTTTAAAAAGGATCGAGGAATTATTGTCCCAAAAAGGGACTAGAGGAAGATTGAAACACCTTTTAAAAAGGGAGAAAAAAGCAAAAATGATCGCCCACTAAAATCAATAAAAATAAGTGATGGTTACTATCATGATTTGTATGACGTGCCACGCATCGGGATCGTCTTAAAGACGTAGTTCAACGATGGAGGACATCTGTGTCATATTGGGCTTATATGTAACCTAAAATATAAGCCGAAAATAAAATAGATTCTTGACCGATATTTAAAACGACTGGTAGAATCTTACTTTCCAGGCTGGACCGTTATAAAATTCATTTATCTTAAAGCCCGTTGAGGGCAGCATGTGAAACGGCCAAAATTCTGACGTGATACCTGAGAGTAGTTCCGGCGGGGTATAGGCTTCTGTCTTGGGGGCATCCATTTCGCTTTTCTATGTACCATTCAAAGCAATGCAATCTGACTAAGGCTGGAAGGACAATAGTGTGATCCCTATGAAAAGCTGTAAAATGCTGTATGTTATTAAAGTTGTTTTACTCCTGCCAATTGGTCTATACAGGGAACAAGACAAGCATAGCAGCATCACAAGGAAGGTCTATTTAAAGTCGCACCGCTCGGCACGGTCCTTGGAGTAATCCTACACGATACGAAGACCAACCATTACGCGATACGGCTGGCAATGGCCTGCTGCCTCGTGCAATGTGTGGAATCCATGCGTTCGTCTATCCCAGTCCAGCTGCAGCTATGGTCAGCGGCAGCAGAAGTTTTGCGGTGAAGCAAGTCACAGTATGCCCATTAACTGCGTTGTTGACTGCTGCACCGACTTTACAGAATAGCCCCCTTACGAGTTTCTTTGCATTTCCTTCACGAATATCGCGTCGCAAGTTCCACATTACATTTGATCTTCAGCGTCGGTGTCAGCAAACATACTGACTGTTGGACTTCTAGTCTCGCTGTCCAAAATTGTGTATATGCTACAGCAGCAAAGAGTCGAGGTATTCCGACTCCCACGTACGACGTCACAACTTTCAAGAACAGCGAGATGAAACCGACGACTGTTGTTGTTTTTACTCCTTATTGAGTTTAGTGAAAACAGAAGGCTCATTCCCTGGAGGCCAATGTTAATAATTGTGACAGAAGGGGAACCTATTTTGTATGAGCGAGGTGAAACTAAATACGCGGCACACCTCTTCCAAAAGCTCCTAGATCTGTGCATGGACCATACGCTTAATGCCACCCGTTATTTCATGTACAGTGGCGATTTCCTGCATTTTATTTCTTTCAACGAGAGGAATCTGAAATCTGAGTTCGACGCTGGTGTTTCATCTGAACTTGTATGGATTTATGCATCATGTCCGTGACATATTAGGCTAGTGATGAAGCACAAATTAATAAATACGGGCGATTCACAATAGTGCGCCACCAAGGGTTTGCAAGGCGTTGGCCAATCATAACGCGCGAAATTTGTCGACCCTTTGCAGACGCGCATAAGGCGGACAAATTTCGCGCATTGTGATTGGCCAACGCGAAACGGCCGTATTGTCAGCCTAATTGTGAAACCTGGGTGTTTACCAACTATCGCGGATGTGTTGTTTCGGTCATTGTTTCAATCACAACTTACAGTTATTAGTTTTCGATTTAACATCACATGTTGTTCAATTCTTTGACAAGCATCCCAGCTGTATCGATTAGTGCAGACAAAAATCAACATGCAGATACAGACGATTTTGGACAGTGTACGTGAATTGCTTACCCGATGTCAATGTTTAACGCGCCTGAACGAGCTTGGCGATAGACTGCGCGGGAAACAGCCGTACAGTGATTAAAGTTCACCTTTGCATCTTTGATAATATCCTCGTTATTGCCCTGGGCTTTGTAAGTCGGGCGCGTTGGATGCACGGTGTGCGCCAGAGACGAAAGCTGAGGTGGTTAGGCAAGACTGTGAAGTCTGCCTTGCACGGAAATGACGGGCATGTATGGGAACTCAACAAGCGAGCTTGCAGATAACCGAGCCCAGGAAGACGCCGAGGGCGGCTTGGCGGTGTTCGTGGTGCAGTGTGTGTCGTTGTCGTTTGCCGCCTTTGTGGCTGTGTTCGGCAACGGGGCCACCATTGTGGCGTTCATCTGTGACAGTGGGCTTCGGGACAAGCCTAGCAACCTGCTGATACTCGCCCTGTCTTGCTCAGACCTGTGTGTGGGGTTCGTCATCACCTCGATAACCCTGAGCACCTTTTTTGTCTCCTGGACCCTTGGGGAGCTGGGTTGTCGCTTCGTCATCAGCGTGGGGGATCTGATTGTGCCGCTTGGGCCTCTCCTTGTTGCGGCTATTTGCCTGGACCGCTACCTGCTCATCTCCCGCGACTATCCGCGGTACCTGGCTATCCAGACGCGGCGCAGGGTCCGCCTAACTATCGCCTTGTGTTGGCTTCTCACTGCGGTGCTTTGCACGACAGAAAACATACTTTGGGACGTCGCTCCCGTCGACGACACCGACTTCACCCGGGCATGTACATCTCCGAGTAAGTCCAATCTGCAGTTTCAGCAGTTTTCCAACATCGTTTACGCCCTGATACCCTTCAGCTTCGTGACGGGCTGCAGCGTGCGGTTCCTAGTGTTGCTGAGGAGAAAACTGAAAGGTCACCGGCGTGTAGGTCCACGGACAGTCAGCGCCCAGGTACGGTGGGCCCAAGCGACGACGCCCCGGCAGCCGTCAACCGAGTTTCTTTCCCCTACGTCCCTCAGTGAGTCCAACGAGCCTTCTACCTGTACCGCGCACAGGGAAGACAACGGCGTGACTCGGCTAATCCCGCCTGTCTACTCCCCGGACACTGACAGCCCGTCCCAGCTGCTGAGGAGTCGCTACGTCCGGCCCATCATCACGGTCATCTGTCTGGTAGCGGCGCTGGCGGTCTGCTACATGCCTTACTGCATATACTTCTTGTTTGTGGTAACCTTATGTCCATCCTGCAACAGTCCCAACCTGTTCACAACGTTCCACCTTCTTAGACTTTTCAATTCCTGCCTGGACCCAATACTGTATGCTGCCACCCAGCGCCGCATCAGGACATTCTATGGCAAACAATTCAGACGCCTCTCAAGGCATATCCGATCGTCCTTTAGACGGCGATTCCGGACATGAACTTGCACTCAGGCAAATAAAAGAAAGTTGTCGCCATTTAAAACCCTATGCTCCAGTCGAACAATATCATGGATGAGAGTTCGATTTTGATGTATATTTCACCTAACAAAAGAACAGTGACTATAGAAGAACAAAGATCAAGATGTAAGGAAATATATAACTTAAAATCCAGTAATGCTTATAAGTATCATTACAGTGGCCTGCGCTCCATACTTATCAATATGATGTGAATTGCTTGGGTATTTTTTTAACGATCATTCTGGATATGCGTCATAGAACATGGTAAAACATGTTTTATACTTGGAAACATACCCAGGGACAGAAAACTGCAAACAATGGAATCTACCCCTCACGATCTATTTTGGCAAACTCCAGGAAACTTACCAAGGGATTATCGCGAGTATTTCTGCAAGGTGGCATTATGACATTATGGTAGTGACATTATCAACAAAATCGGTAGCGTCACACTTGGTGACGCAATACGTTTTACGCATCAATGTGGTTATTTTCAGCAGGAAGGTTTTTCGATAGCAACCCGTACAACAGATGGGATAATATCTATCGAGTGATGTGTCAGGTTACTTGGATCTATTTGGATTGTCTTAGTTGCGAAATACACTAATAGAAACACATTTCTGGCTTGAATAAGCTTAAGGTTGTGAGACACCAAGGAATACACCGACGCACCTACGCGTGAATCACAATGATGGTGTTCATTCGGCAACATCATTTTGAGATAGTAATTTTTGCAATAACGATAACAGTTGTGCCACACGGTTTTGATAGAAAAGAGTTTATCTGGTTAAAAATAAAAATAAATTAAAAGCTTAGGAGATTGGGATATAACGTTACCCCAAACCCTCATAGCCAATAATATTTAAAGTGTACATTACAGACATTCAAAATGAAACGTGTGTTACCTTAACTGTATTTAATGTATTGTGGATCAGTAGCATACGTCCAGCAGTCATTGCCATAGTAATAAGCATATTTAAAATTTCATATCACTGACCCCCTTTTTACCCCAAGTGTAGGGTAAGAATGGGGAAAACGGCCCCATAGTGTTTTACATAGGTACCTCATTAAATGAAAATGGCTAAATTATTGGTATAACCCAAAGTTTGTCTTACCAAAATTTATTGACAATAAACCTAAATGAAATGTAAAACATAACAAGTATTTTATCCAAACGGCCCCAAAACCTGACTGTTTCTTTTAAATTCTCACAAATCTCAAATTTCCAATCTTTGTTTACAGTTGTATGCGAATATTTAGAAACCATATTCATTGAGGGGGACAGGATCTTTTTTGATGTTTCATACGGGATTCTGTAACTGCTCTTGAAGCGTGTTTCGGAGTTTATACCTCACGTTTATACCTCGGGCATGACTTTATTCCGATCGTCTTAGAATCGTTGGGGAACGGCCTCGCTGACCTACGGGTTCAACGCGTAGGCCAAAGGCGCTTGGACAAAATCATAGCGAGCCCATGTAGGTCAGCACGAGTCTGCACGGTCATGGAGCGTTTAAAGTGTGCTTCGTGCCTGCACATCTACTAAACGGAACATGGATTCGGATGCAGATAGACATTAACCTAGAAACACAAAAGATCATGGGAAGGTGACTTAAACAGTCCCACATTTGGCTGAAGAAACTGACGAATGTTTTTATTTAAAAGGCACGCTTTGTTGAAAGATGACTAAGCTTGCTATGGAATAATTCTTTCAGACAAGTTGCCATTTTAAAGAAAGCAAAGAGAGAAGGCCTTTTCTGATGATATGTCCGAAGAAGCATTTCTCGGGAAATGCCGTTAGTAATTCGTTCGAAGTCGACGAAGCAAGCAAGCAAGCGTTGTCACGATGCACAAGCGCACGTCCCCCGAACTGAATGGGCAAATTTTGTCCGTGCAGTTCGCAGCAAAGCGTAGCTGTTGGCTGAATTGGAGTGTGCCCCGGACGCCGAATTCTGATGCAATTAAAAGCATGGCGCTGCAACGTTTGATTTGATCCTAGACTCTTCCTTTTATTTTCCTTTGGAAGCTGAGACTTCATAGGGTTAGATGTAGAGCACCCTTCCTTGGATTTTGAACACCCTGGTTGCCTCAAACAACTTCACAAGTGACATATGGCGGGATGTACCTTTAATGTGGCGTACATTTATTTGTAGCCTACTACTGTGGTCCTTGCACAACGGCGCCAGTGGTGCTCGATGGTTCCATGGTTAATCCTCTCTTCACGTTTCATCGGTGTTGGGGAACATACACGACAACGAAAGGACAAAATACGATCCAAAACAGCCCGAGGAAAGCTTCTTGGCATTTCAGCGCAGGCACGCATGCGGTCAACGAAGACCCGCCTGGTTGTCCAACATATCCCCAAATAGTCTCTTTAAGCCTCGTGCTGATCACTTAGCACAGAAGCCACCCCCCCAAGAGAAAAATCATACCAGTACAATCGAAAACATATTAGAAACAGCAATGTTAAAAACAGCGTTATGTTTATAACAATGCAATTTGTATAACCACTGTAAGCAAATATAAGTCATTTTGACTGATAAATTTAGTCCAGCTTATTATCTAAAATGACCAATTTGAATTAGTCAGACCGGCCAATGACTAATTAGAATTAGCCAGACATTCCAATGACTAATATTTATTTGTCTAAGATACAAGTCAAATATTACTCAAATTTGACCAAAGTCAGTCACTGTTGGTTAGATATTAGTCCTTTTGTTTACGGAGATCTTTATTTTTTCATTACCGATAATACAAAGTACCTTCATAACCGTATGTTCCGTGGGTTAAACGTTCCCTTAGGTCAACTAGCACGTAAGCGCTTCACTTTACTACCATTTTCCAAGTCCACAAAATCTCATGTGTCATTTCACAGACTACTCTATACTGTAATCAAATGCTCCAATAAAATATATTTGCTTAATTCTACGTTTATGCATGCACAGCTTCACCATAGGCGTCATGCGTCGTTCGGCTGCACCCAACCGATTATTCGGCTGCTCCCAACCGATCATTCGGCCACCCCAACCGATCAATCGGCTGCGCCCAACCGATCATTCGGCTGCATTCAACCAAACATTAACGTTAACATTACCGCAGCCACAGTAGTTAAACATTTAAACAAGCAGGTGTGTCAATCCAAGATAACGGTTGACAAGAAAATAATGTTATCATCCTAGAAACACAGGCCTGAATAACCGGAATCTAGGATTTTGATATCCTGTTAGTTGAAACACAATTCCAGGAGGGAAGAATATCTTCAAGGAAATGAGAGGAATTGAGGAGTTAGACCCGCGTCAAACTTCAAATTTTGGCCGTGTCAAATGGTAATTATTCATATATAGGTTCGGCAAGACTAGTGAAAACAGTAAATGAGGTTGGCGGCAAACGTCACATTTAATGGTCACAGGTCAAATGTGACTAATGTCAAGTCAACAAAAAAGCTGACATGAAGAGGTATTGAGAGGGGAGATACTGTCTGCAGTCTTGCGATACATCTCAACACTCTCACAGCCGCAAAGAGGTTTGATGTCAGCAGTCAGTCCTGTAGCGAAGAAGAGAGTGGAAGCTAATGGTTGTATGGCTGTCGTTGCATTGTCCGATCGAGAAAATATAGGTGCTTCAAAGAGTCACCAGTCTTTCAAAAGTTCATGCAAAATAACAGATGGTTCCTATTCGTCTCGATAGGCAGGTCATGTGCCTCGTTAAAAACGTTACTGGAGTAACCCTGAAATTGTTTACGCAAGTGTTGCTTGTCTCCTGAAAGTTCAACAGATCTGTCAATCTTCCTTAGAGATATCCGACAATATCTACCATCTCTAGTTCAAATATCTCGGGCTTGTACACGGTAGGCACTCATCTTATTCTTCCAAAGCATTGGATGTGTACCCAGAAAAGGGAAACTGTTGAAACGCGTCATGTTGAAGATTTCCGAGGTGTCCCAAATTATCGAACTTTCATGCATATACTGGGTATATCTCGTCTGCCAAGATTATCTCACTTTTCCGATATGATGTCACAATGACGAGTAATGCAGTATTAGACAGCGTGTATCTTTTTCCTCCATGGACCAAGCAATGACCAATGCATAAACATTGAAATAAAAAGACGTTTTAAATATACAACAGACGTGAAATGACAAATAGACTCAGATACCACATGACAGAACCACAATAGACAGACAGTTTGTTTACATATAGAGAATTGTTTTTATTTTTACAGTTGCCGTATATATATTTTTTTGTTTAATCATACTATAATTCAGGAATGTAACGCGACACTGGTTTTATATGACGACATGAATCGACTGAGTCCACTGAATATGCCAAACAATCATTGGGATATTGAGCCCTGACCGGATTTACAACATGAACGGTCTGAAAATCTCATGTGATTCGATTGCTACCACATTCCTCATTCAAATACAGTGACTCCTTGTAGGAACAGAACGATATTTCAGGGCGTACATGTTTTTCGGCGAATTAGACTGATAAAAACTGTCCTTTAGAAATCGGAAAAGGGCTATGATGGTGACCAACAATATTGACGCTGTCGTTGGTGCTGTTGTCTTACAACAAAAGTGTCAATTGTAGCCAATCATGAACTTAAAATCGGCCCGATTGTGTGAGCGTTATCGTTTCCTACGTCTCCAATTTTCACCAGCACAGGTTGATTACAAGGCCTGAAATTCTCTGATGACATGCGACCGAGGACAATAAGGGGAGCAGGCGACACTTCAGTCCGATGTGCAACTTTCCAATATCCAGCTGTTTTCAAAAATCATATTAGCCACAAACATAATACGTCAACTTTCTTTGTTTGTTTGGTTTTTTTTTTGGCTGAACCGCGCAAAGCCATCTTCGTGTCTGTCGTGGGTACAGTTTGACGTCATAATGCGCGTTGTGCATCCCATTACGGCAGATTCTCCAGTCAAACAATCCAGGAGGAGTGTATTCTTCCTATTTCTCCTTTTGAACCCCTTAGAAGCTCTGTGAAATGTCTGTTAGTAGTCCTTATGAACGCAGTCTTGGCCCTAGATCATTCTTAGGCCGTAGATCGATATGCCACATCTGATATTTTAGGCTACCCCTTTGTCATACTTGCACATGGACAGCGAAAACTTACGCCATACATGTCCTGATTATGGTAGAGTACAAGGTCATCGGCATTGACAGTCACAATTCCCCCTTACTGAGTCTAGTCAAGGCCACTACAGAGTAAAGTTTTGAGACAAACGGTAAATCAAGCAACCAAGTTGTAAAGCCTGTATAGTTTCCATATCGACGTAAATGGACGCACACAGTAACGCTCAACAGTCCCCGATGGTAGACAAACACACGGGGACCTTTTTTTCGCGACTGGCACAACCACAGACGAGATAAAAAACCGATAAAAATCTGAATCGTGTTCAACTGTGCTGATTCTCTGTGTGAGTCGCCAGAGTAGGACCACACAAACACGTTTGGGATGCCTCTTTCCCCCCTTAGTATCAGTACCTCTTTTTTTTTTGCTTATTTCCTCCTGGTCCCGACTAAAACATGGCAGTTCAATTATTGTCATCAAAGCATCAGCCTCTAAAACGAAGACCATCGAACTGGAGTACCAGTTTGTTTCTCAAACCTGGTACAACCAGTAGGAAGGCATGTTGTAATAAAACGTTGGGAGTTTCGGACGCCATGTTGATGGAGTGACGTCACGCTCGTTAGTCGTCCGCCACTGTTTGCGTCTCGACATCTTGTGTGCTGTCATGTCGGTATATGTGAGCTAGGCTCTCCTTTTTTTAACACCGAATATTATTTTGAGGGTTTTTGAAATAAAATATGGACAACAATATTTGGATTTGTAGGTTTGTTCCAATGGGTAAAAAATTCCACTGACGTCTTAGTATTCCTAGTTTTGTTCAAATTCCAATTCTGATGAACATTAATACTAATGATGATGTTGTTAATTTTGATGCAAAGCGTTTATACCTTCAAAAGTTTTTGTCTTCAAAAGTGTCGCACATGTAAGGCACACGATTTTACATCAAATTAAAAAAGGTATAAACCTCTTTTTCAACACGTTCTAAGAATACAGGTGTCCAGCAAACTTTTGTGGCTGAATTTAATCAAATAACAGCAAAACATATTTGAAAATGAAAATATCATCTACAAGCGCTGGAAAGTGAATAGTGTCAAAATAACAGCGAATCAGAAATGCACTTATAGCTGTAATTAATTAAATGCTGTTCGAAGTGGTTGGTAAATATGGCCGCTCGCTCACCACACGGGAATCACCACACCTCACACTTCACGGCAGGATTCATGGGACTTCCGATGGGACATTGGAACGCCTCGCTGAAGGCTGGCAGGTTGGACAACGACCCGATGACCCTAATCAAGAGGATGACAGGCCAAATTACGGAGGGTGAGAATTAATAAAAATCCATATCGCTCGACCTCACATCTCTTAAAGTCCTTTGCAGTCTGCCGTATTAGACTCAAGGCTGCCTGCCGAAAATGTCACGGGAACGTGTCAGCGCACACGGAACTGTTGATCCTTGTAGTTGTTTGGATGAACTCTGTACCTGAAGCACAATTTGGATTTGTACACTGATAGGGGCTCGGACCAAAATTTACCCCTCAAAATAACTCACGATGCTGAAGCCCCCCCCCCCATTGCACCATTAGGACTGGGAGGTCTGGCTATATCAGAGGTAGTACTTGAAAATGAAGGTGTTTTGTATCATTATTTTCCAAAAAAGAGAGAGAAAAAAAGGAAAACTTGGGGGAGGGCTCAAGGCCCAATTCCCCCTATACACTACTGCTCCCTACTCGATAAGTGCTAGACAAAAGTAGGTCGTGCATCCTGAAATGTCTGCCCATTCATAGGTTCACCAATAAATTCTAATTTATGTGCACATGCGCACAAATGGCATGTGGAGGCAAAACGCTTGAACGACACATTGAAAATGTACAGGGGCACAAATGCCAACGTCATTTTCACTCATCGTCTGCGTTTGTTCAGTGCCGTCTTCAGAAAACACTCTTAAATCACTGTGAACTGGTCTATCGATTAAAAGGGTGGGGAGGAGCAATGCTATCCAAATTATTCTCTGTGCTCTGGGCTTCGTTTCAGTCTGTTATTAGACTGTCACGGTAAAAAGGGATGGGACCAACCTGCAGTTGCGTAAATTTGTGGCAGGATTTGGTGGAATGGGGGATGACTTGCTCGGATAGTGGGAGATGGTGTGTATGTGGGGGGGGGAGGTTGACTTTCCCTGTTGCTGAAGTTTGAAAAGCAGCGATATCCGCACACGCGTCTGAGCGTCTCAGTAATTTAAAACAGAGGGGCGATGCAGTGGACAGTGCGCCACCGAGTGTTTGGAAGTAAGAGACCCCTTGATTTACCTTGTGGTGGAAATTATTCCGCCATGAATCATCAGCCCTTCATCTTGGTTTGAATAAAGAAAGGTTTGAGAGTCCTGCAGGTGCCAACGAGATGTTGAGATTTAAGAATTTCACTTTCGGTTTCGGCATTTTACTGGCAAGATTTTAATGTTCCTTGCTTTTCAGGATGACATTGGAAAACAAGCTTCTTTCAGTCTAGTCATTGACAGCGTGAACCTATTAGATTGTGACCATACTCAGTGGCTTAACTGGTGCCCACCTTTCTGTCCAGCGGCACTGCTGGCGCTATATGCCAGGACACTGGATTTTTTTCAAATGGCGACCCGATAGGTCAACATTCCCACGCGTGCAGGAAGAAAGTACACGTAATCATGACTCTCTGAGAGATGACGGTGGGTCTGGTTTGGCGTCTTTTTCGCAGTATTTTGTGACAAATTAAAGGGTAGCCACCACTGACGCATCTTCAAAAATCAGAAGTTTATCAGGCTAAGTCGACACACACATACCTGTACTTCTCGGGCGAATGGTAGCCCCTGTCTAAGTAGATCTTAGCGGCTTCTGGTGTATAGTAACTGCACCAAGCTTGGCCCATTCCCAGGAAGAATTCCTGGGATGCCGTCAAGTTCAGCGGCAGTGACAGATCGTCCGCACTGTTCCTCCGCCATCTCTGAAAGGCCAGGTAGGCAATCTTTAGTCCGCCGTTGTCCGCGAAATTCTCATACAGAGTGGTTTCCCCGTTTATCTGATGGTGGCAAAAAAGAAAGAAAGAAAGGAAGTTAGAGACTAATTTAACACTTTATAACGCAGTGTCAGTCGCACATAGTACATCCTGTGTTGAAAGGTGCAACAGAAGCTGGTCTCTTCTCAGGTTGATCCCTTAGCTATAAATGAACAGCCTGTCAGTGATGGGAAACAAGATTTAAACAAGTTGATTTGGGGAATGGGATCAAATATAGACTGACATGAAAACCCCCAAAATATTACTCAAATCTTTTCCTTCTTCGTTCCAAATGTCAGCAAGCTATGTAGAGACAATTGTGTTCGAGTTGAGATAAGTTCATACAAACTGTTGGCTGCAAGAATGCACTTAAAACACGGTAGTCGTTTAGCTGATTTATTCTTTTAAACTCGAAGTGAGTTAACCCTGGCGTT